GGAGGAGGGATTGAACAGGGAGAAAAGGAAAAGAGAGGACAGAGAGTCACACTTACAGCAGATACACAAACGTATTGGAAAATAAAGCCTGCCAAAGTGACAGGTACAGGCTTTTAAATAAATTAAAACTGACCAATGCACACGAACAGGAAAACAGGCGGACACAGGTAGAGAAGTGAATTACTGTTAGGGACTTAACAAGGTTAACCTGATCAGCAACAAGAAGACTTTCCAAAACAGAAATGAAGCTAAGGCAGGCAAGGTCAAACTATGGCCCTAGGGCCGGATGCGGCCCCTTTGGCTTTTTAATCCGGCCCGCCAAACTTGTCCAAATTATATTATTAATTTATATTATAAACATTATACTTTTGCCTTTTCCCTGCAATGCCCGCATTTCCCCAATAGATGGCGTAGACAAAGCTAGCATTATAGCCTTTATGCATGACTTTTACATATCATTTATCTTTTTTCCACACAAACCCGTCCTGACCTGTTCCTGACCCGGGCCCCTCCCCCGTCAAATTTTGGAACCCACTGTGGTCCGCGAGCTAAAAGGTTTGCTCACGACTGAGCTAAGCTGAAATTCACCCACAGGTTAAATTAGTTATTTTTTATTTACTTTTGTTTGTCTGGTCACTGAAGTAACTTCTAAAAACAGAGATAAAATATGAGTGCTAACAGTAGCATGAAGAATTCTTCTTTTTTTTATTTACTTTTATTTAAGAGTCTGGTCACTGAAGTAAGTAAAAACAGAGATAAAACATGAGTGCTAACAGTAGCATGAAGAATTTAGCTTCTTAAAACAAAATCACTAGTTAAGTATTAGGTAACTGAGTACCTTGACCATTTCATAATTTTTATGCAAATTTTCCTACTATATTTGTATTGAGAGAGGGACAAAGAGCATGGACGTTGTTTCCAAAGTCCCCCTATAATTTTGGGTGGGATTTTTTTTTTTTTTAATATTTGAAATTAGCGTAGACATGTATTTAACATGAACCAGGAATACAAGTTTTTTCATTGAATTAAATTATCGCTATGATTCCAAGCCGTCATTGGCTACTAACCAGGTAGGCGGGCATATGTTTCCAAGATGGATCATATGTTCCTGAGGTCACGTAGTGAGATTGTAAACTGGTGTCAATAATTGTTAATTGCTTAATGTTACCTACGTTCACCTATGACACGTGTCAAACTCAAGGCCCGGAGGCCAAACGCGATCCGCCAAGTCATTTTGTACGGCCCGCGGTAGCTTAAAAGCAATTTTAAAAGCAACACACTCCACACTCCCGGGGCTAAGCCCCCCATCTCTCAATCCTAGGGACGTCAACACGTTTTTGGACAGACGCAGGAGACAAAGAAGTAGCTGGGAAAAATCCAAGCATACACACAAACTCAATACAGGAAGCCCGTCAGTCACAGGGATCGGACCAGTGAGACTACTTTTCACTCTTGTACCACATGGCCA